CCTGGCAAACACCCACAAAAACGCCACCGACAACGGATTCCATTCATACGATGTCAGTGATTGTTACAAATCGGCCTTCGAAGCTCTTCGATCGCCTCTCAGTTCAACCACCAGCCGAAAGACTCACTGACCATTGGAAGCAAATCAAGGAAGCTATGCGAATATAGATAAAAACAACGTCGGACCCTGGCGCAGGCTCGAAACACAAACGATGGACCTCGTGAACCTCGACTGCCCTGCTGCATGCCCGCCGAACCCTTCCTCTTGATGCCACATATGATACAGCGCACAAATCCCTTAAACGCCAGCTCATCAAGAGGAATGACCGCGAGAAGTGGTGGGTAGAAAAGTGTAAAGAGATAGAGAAAGCTGCGGCTATTGATAATAATCGCAATCTTTTCTGTTTAATTAGGAATATGTGACCCAGGAAAATAGGCGTGAGATAATTAAGGAATCCGATGGCACACTGATTCATCATCAGTGCCGTCTTGATCCATGGGCTGAGCACTTAGAGGCTCAGTTCAACTGACTCTCATCGACATCTGACCTATCACCCACCCCACCCCTAACCTCGACTGGGGAAATACTCTTAGTTGGTGCTTGTCTTTCATCTGGAATGGAGGTTTCCCGGGAAATAAGTTATCTCAAAAGGTGTAAGGCCTCTGGCCCAGATGGGCTGTTCCCATCGGGGTTTAAGGATGGAGGTTCAGTGTTAGTCTTGGAGTTGACGAAACTCCTGGGCTCAATAAGAGAAAGAGAGGAGGTTCCAGCTGGATGATGTGAATCCGTGATCATACCGATTTACAAGAAAGACGACAGGTCCCCTTGCGGGAACCACAGAGGGATTAGTCTAATCAACATTGCTTCTAAACTTCTCGCTGGGATCATACTGCGTCGATTGTCTGCCTCATGGAAAAGGTGCACGCGTGAGAATCAGGCTGGTTTTGGACCTGGTCGAGGTTGTATCGACCTTATCTACACTCCACCAAATTCTGGAGCATCGACATTCCTTCTGTATACCCAAAATCTCTGTTTTCATTGCTTTGAAAGAGGCTTTCGACTCAATCGATCGCTCTAAACCCTGACACTGCTTTTCCTTGAAAGGTGTGCCCGAGAAGTTAAGTTCAATATTACGATCGCTTTATACTAATAGCCGAAGTCGAGTCCGAGCTTACGGCACCTTTCCGCTCGAGTTCACCACGGAAAGTGGCGTTCGTCAGGGCTGCCCTCTTTCTCCTTTCCCATCTAACTTTGTTATCGATTTGATCATGGAAAGTTATATCCTCGTGCGAGAATAGTGGCATCGATTTACTTGCAGGTGGTAGACTGCCTGATCTGGAGTATGCAGACAACATTGTGCTGCTAAGCGAAGATCCAGGTAAGCTGCAAGCTCTTCTGGATACCTTGAATGTTAGTGTAGCCGTGTTCGGTATGCGTTTTGCACCTTCAAAGTGTAAAATGTTATTACAAGACTGGGTTGGTCCAGCACCCAGACTCACTCTAACCGGGTAAGTTACAGGGCAAGTGGATAGGTTTTATTATTTGAGCAGCTACATCTCACCCGATGGACGCATCATGGAGTAAGTGTCAGCTCGCATACAGAAGGCTCGGTTGGCATTTGCTAACTTGAGACATCTGTGGCGCCGTCGCAACATTCGGTTGTCAGTGAAGGGTCGAGTGTATGCTGCAGCGGTTCGGCCAGTTCTGCTATAAGTCGCAGAAACTTAGCCATTAAGGAAGCAAGATAAGGATAAACTGTCGCTGTTTGAACACCGCTGTCTATGCAGTATTGCACGAATCCGGTGGGGCAGCCGGACTGCTGAGGTTAGGCGCAGAGTTTTGGGTAACCGCGGTCGCCTACGGCGAACGATGTTTGCCGCGGCAGGTAGTGGGTGGAAAAAGGTCAAGGGTGGTCAACCTATGACCTGGAACGAGAGCATGAAATCCACAGCCAGGAGACTGCATCACATAGGTCCCGTTAGGCTGCCTGGCTGGGGACCTCAGGATGATCGTAACCGATGGTTGAAGACACTGAGTCATATGCCTGAGTGTAGTAAACAGAGGCGTTTGTGCACCTCGATTTCCTCGCAACCTTAGACCACTGACATTCTTCGTTTTCTGTTCGACTTTCCTGTCTTTCTGTTATTCTTCATCCAAATGGACAGCCGAAAGACAGCAACCAAACCGCGGCATGAAGGTGCATGTTTAATGGCTGTACAAGCTGAACTGAAACTGAAGAATTCTGGTCTGATAAGAACGCCGCTGCTGTCCAATTGAGCCCCGAAATTTTCAGCTTATCGCTCAAGAGCCTAAACATCCGTACTTACTGTGTATAATGTGAGTTTGAGAGTGGTGAAAGATCGATAATGATGATGATGATGGTGAGGAGGAGGAGAAAACATGAATTTCATTGCAGATGATTAGAGAAAAAAGAAAAGACAAACATTTGATTAAAAAGCATTAATATGAAACAATGGAAACTGGAAATGGTGTATAAATGAAGGTTAGCTTCACGATAAACCCGATGGTGCAAGGTATCACTTTAAATTGGTCCATCTAACTTCGGAAACCAAGAACCAAATACTCCCTAAAGTAAAGCACTCAACAGGATATGGAGCAGATTTTACCCGTTATAACTCGCTTACGGTGTTCTCCGTGGGAACTGGTGGCGGAGATGGAATTGTCTGAGACGAAACAGGAGCCGGTGGGGGTGGCGGTGGGGGTGGAGGAGGAGGTGGAGGAGGAGCTGATTTTCCGTATCCCATTGAGGCACCACCATTGTTTGTAGTGGTATCCTGTGAAAGGGTTGGTTGTAGCTGTGGTCTGCTTCCCGTGGGTTTCAACCTGGGCATGCCATTAGCAAAAATGTCCCCCATGGACATAGGAACTGACGGTTGGGCTACTGAGGTAGGAATCTCCGCCGATGGTTTGTTTGGTAGTTCAGAACCAGTTGGTGGAGGCACTGCTGTTGGTCGAGAAACAAAGTCAGTATTGAATGAAACAGGGTTGATAAACAGGAATTAACGTAAACTGGGCTTCCCCAAGATAAAGAGCTACCGAATGAGAAACGAGAGGAATTTCACTTCAGAAACTGTTGAGCGATACTATTAGTATGAATATTTCAGAAGTGCAGAGGACGTACCACAAATTTCCGGACTTCGGAGAAATGACTAACGGAAACTATCAATGCGACATGGGCGGATAATGACTTACTAATGATGGCATGTCACCAGGACGGGTTTGCCAAACAAACGGACGATCAGTATCGCGAACCCATTGCTAAAAAACGCTATGGAAGGACCACTAAAATGAACATTAATGTACAAGACCCGTGGGGGATCGATGGCTGCATGAAAAGGCCATCAAAGGACTGGTTGAACGGATGGCCAGTCAACACAATCAACACGACTTTGCTACCGGAATTCGGGAGGTATTTGGGTCTTACGGGGTGAAACAGCTAGGGTGAAACAACTAGCGTAAACCATTATCTTCAGATGCGTGTGAAGAAATAGATCTACGTTGGGTTGAAGCTGACAAAGAAAAAGAAAATAGAGGTACACAGCATAAGGAGTAACTCCATTTAAGGAAGTGCAGCCGTATGTGTGCAAAGATAAAAGAAAAAGCGGTTTACGGTTTACCGATTCAAAAAATCGACGACAAAATAGCAGACAACATAGGTCTACGATTGCGTTAGATGCTAGTATATACGAGACAGCCTGGTTCATAAGATTAAAGCTATATGCTACCCTCGATATCCTATAGATACTGGTAATTATCCTTGAGGTATATTCGCACGGTCATCGCATGTAAAAAATACCAGCGCTGTTATCCTAGTATTCTGGAACCGGTGCGACTCAAATTAGCAATTTTTGGCAGTTAACAGGTAACGTTGAAATGTCTAGCAACAAATGGCATACAAACGATAAAATTTACAACATCAACTTATCATGAACGTTAAAAGAGCCTTCCAGACGATAAAAACAGTAAAACAGTTATGAAAACTATTTGTATCCGTTATTATTGACCAAGACTTAACAAAAAAAATTATTTAGTCCATGCAGAGAACACCGTGGCTACACGGACTTAGTGTTCNTAGTGTTCACTTATGGGAACTGGAAAACTAGGCTTAATGACTTGGAGGCACCAGATATCATGAGAAAAATATGATGGAGAAGAAAACTAAGTCGCGTACGGTTAAACTTCCTCAACGGTAGCATCATTAGCCGGTTGAATATTCTATTCGATAAAATAATAAACCTGCCGAGTATTCAGACTTTCCAAACAACACTTGACGAGAACTGATCAGAACTGCTCTCCTGTATTTATCTCAGAACAGGCTGTGGGAAGTCTACTGATGGCCTGAGCAAGGATATATGCATCCTTGAAGCTGACCATTCCAGTTACAGTACATTTATAAAGGACCCAATGTTTTACACTAACAATGCCTTACAGAACTTTAGACTTTAAGCGCTGGGAGACAAAGGAATCAGCGGCATGAGAAACTGAATAAGTGCATCAGTGCATACAAGATACATCTATCCTGACCATGACGAGCATTTTCAGATATCAAGAACCAGGCTCGTAGACACTAACACCAATCGTAAACCGTTGACTAGGAAAATAGAAATCCGAAAATGAACGCAGCTGCGTTTATTTTTAGATTCCGATTTGGGAACGCACACTGAGAGCTTGGGGACTGGATTTACATCCGTAAACCATAAACGCCCCGGTTAATCACTGACACAAATTGCCTCCTTAGCAGCTAATGTACGTTATACGCAAGTTGGGAGTCAAAGAACCGCCAAATATACCGTATCGACTTGCTGGAAACCACATATCGGTCTTTGCACACTAAAGTGAACCGAACTGGAAGAACGATCGCGAGAAACCACGGTTCATTTTGAAAGCTGAACTTGAAATCAACATGGTGGATGCCCATTACTATGAAAAACCAACATATGTATCTGTGATGTAGGCGACAAGAACCTTACTGCAAAAACTAATACATAGCCGTAATAAATCTATTCCGGAAAACTTAAATGAAAGGCAGTACAATGGAAGTCTCACCTTTGACTTTATTGAGAGCCCCCAATGTACTGCGATCGTTCTTTTCTGATTCGGGAACTTTTCGAAGCTTCTTTCCAGCGCGGATTTCGTCCAACAGCGTTAAAGACATTTTCAACGATTGGAACAGCGGAATTGACCTCCTAAAGTGTGCGCTGAAAGAAAAGTATTGTAGATCTCTTAAACGTAAAAGCGATGCATATATATAGCTCTAATATTTGATCCTTGTGGAGAATCTTCGAAAATGATACATTTACACACGTATCACTTATATAAAGGAATCTATACTTTTTAAACAAAAATGATAAAAATATATATTTTGGTTATCAGTGCTACAACACTTTGTATGAATGAATGGTGGAATTAAATTGAGAAATTTGCATTTTTTTCGTTCTTTTATTCTAAAATGCATGAACGCCCATTCATTATTGTTCTTCTTACAGGTGATGTCGTCCTATGAACAGCAGAATAGATTCTTTCGACTTAAAACGAACCCAATATTTGAAAATAACTTCACAAAAGGCAGCAAAAGTTATTTAAAGTAAGATTAAAGCTAATTAAGGAAGGAAGGAGTATACTTTCTCATATGAAAGTGCGGATCAACTCTATCGAATAGATCTTTTTAGGTATGCCTAAATAGCATCAGATTACGTTACCGTAATCTAATAAGAATCCACAATTATTTATTATCATTTTGCAGCATGACGGTCGAAATTGAATGGGTAAGAGCATTAGAGTGAAAACTTTTCCCTAGAAAAATATATATGTAGAAAAATATAAATTTAACCTTCTATCGGATTCACAATAACGACTGTATTTTGTGAAGTACGGTAGAGACTTAGGATTACGAAGAACACATTAAAAGATGAAAACAATGTATTAAGCAATTTTTTACTATATTCACTATTGAATACCATTGAATATGGTCGTCTACAAAAATTTCAGTTTCGCGGTTTATAATTTCGGAATCGGGGATAGATTTCTAGACCACTTTCATTTGAGACACTGAACTTCTCGCGTACTAATGAAGAACAATAGTCAACGAAAAAAACCAACGGAATAAGCCATAACAACGGAGCTATTTGCTACTTACGACAGGAGTAGTGTAGTGGTTCGGCCTCTGGTCTGAAATTCAAGGGAGGACAAGCCGTAGTCAACAACAAGCAACCGGGTCACGGGCAGCAAACACACGCGTTCAGGCTTCACGCAGGGGGAAGGCGGTTCAGCGGTAACAGGCGTCTATCAGAACGGCATGCAACAGTACAGAGCCGGAAGTCTGGGGGGCAAACGTCCGGGTCTATATATATAAGCGGGGTCAAGGTCACTCTTGGGGAGAGGGGTCGACCGATTGAGCGTTCATGTCTTCGGCACGTTGGTGGATGGTACACAGTGGTTTACCTGGAACACAGAAAGAAAGTAATGGTGTATTAACACAGATAGGTCATTACACAGCCCCCTCTCCTGAAAGGGCTGTCCTAAGCCCTTCTACAGGTAACTCTACTTCTTCGGCAACAGGTGGCGTTCCTTCAGCGTGAGACCGGGGCAATCGACGGCCGCGCGACGTCGGCTTCAAGCGGTTGAAGTGCACTACATGGGTATCACTATTTGGATCTCCGCCAACCTTGCCCACGCGGCATGTGGTGGGACTGAGGACGTCGAATACTATGAACGGCCCTTTCCACTCGTGTTTCAGTTTTGACGGCATGCCAGGTGATCGGGCCGTTGAGTTCAGCCACACTTGTTCCCCTGGTTGCACCGGCGAACCATAGATCTTCTTGTCATAAAATTCTTTTTGATGACGCTGTGCTGTTCTCAGGTGTTCCCGTGCGAGTTGATGACCCATTAGCAGCGTTCGTTGCAGTCTGGCAACGTAACTGGTAGTGACAAGAGCTGATTCCTGGAAATGAGGTATCGTAAGATCCAGTGGTAGTCTCAGTTCCCTGCCTGTGACTAAAAATGGGGTGATTGGCCGGTTGACGTTTGTACTGAAGCTCGATACGTGAGTAGGCACGCCGGAAGTGTAGCGTCCCATCTCCTCGCATTCTGTCGATTCACGAACGCCTTCAATAACCCCTTCAGTGTGCGATTTGTTCTCTCAACCAGCCCATTACCTTGGGGGTGATAGGGCGTTGTCCTGGTTTTCTTTATCCCCAGAAGTTGGCATAAGTCACCCATCAACAGGCTTTCAAAGTTTGAGCCTTGATCCGTGTGGATATATAAAGGAGCGCCCCAACGTGATACCCACGCGTTGAGGATGGTCTGCGCAATGGTGAACGAATCTGCCCGGGGTAGTGGTTCCGCTTCACACCATTTGGTGAAGTAATCGACCATCACCAGTATATAACGATTCCCTTTGGTCGTTTCCGGTAGGGGCCCGATGATGTCGATCCCCAGTCGCTCATTCGGATAACCCGCCGGCATCGGCATCAATGGTGCTTTGTTGGACGTCCTTGGAGGCTTCATCTGCATACACAGCTGGCATGAGTTACAAAAGTTAACGACGTCTCTTACCTGATGGGGCCACCAAAATCTTTGTCGTACAGCCGCCAGCATTTTTCTCTGTCCCACGTGCCCGAGCTCTCGGTGTAATTCGGTGAGCACTTGCTGAACAGCTACCTGAGGGACCACGATTCTTCTAGTGTAGGTTGGCCCATATTGGAAATACATGACTCCGTCTAGTACAGAGAGGTGTTTCCGCAGACTCCAGGCGCACATAGTTTCCCAGCTGCTCCCAGCCATTTCTTCTCGCGCTGGTCTTTGGCCTGACTCGGATAATCGTTTATACAAG